CACCCTGTTTTCATAAGGGAAAATCTTGAAACTCAAACTGCGCCCCTGGCCCCCGGGTTACAACAACAACGGTTCCCGCCTGAATCTTCCTCACACTTTAGCCGGGAGCCCCGCTCCCGCCTGAGACTTCCTCGCGTTTTATTCATGTTTAGTCTCTCGCACAGCGGAGAATGCGTCTCGAGTCTCACTGGCAGCGTCTTCGCGCAGCGGGCGCCTATCGCCCCAGGTGGGGCGAGTGACCGATACCCAGAACAAAATGAAATATCGAAAAAGGGGTTTGGGGGGAGGGCCGGTTGATCTGTGGAGCCACAGGCTATAGGCATAGACCACAGAGCGACAACTCGTGATCAACAAACATCTCTGCGCACGCACTCCCATGTTTAGTCTCTCACACAGCGGAGAATGCGTCTCGAGTCTCACTGGCAGCGTCTTCGCGCAGCGGACGCCTATCGCCCCGAACCATCCCAAACCAGATGTTCACAGATCCCAAGAGGGGATCCTAAAAGCGAGCGAGAGACGGCGCCAATGGGAGTCAAGGGCAGAAGACCAGGGCCCTCTCAACAACCCAGCAGCTTCGACCTGCAGGGGGCTGAGAGGGTGAAAGCAAGGCCCCGCGCCAGCGCGCGTGGGTACTCGGCGGCAAGTGCTGTCCAGTGAATGCCCTCATTAGACTTACCCGAGAGATGCCAATGCGCTTTTCCTGTTCTAGAACAGTGGCCTCTGTGGGCCCTGCACTGCTTGCCTAGGCGCCCACAGTCATCGACATAACTATTTCCGACGAAGAACTTTGTTCGTTTTCGCCATCGAATGCCATACTGGCACTGGTCGCATACTATCTCGTGGCACCAGCCTAGTCGCAAAAACTCTTGGAGGACTGGAGCCTTGAAAGCGTACGAACTACCAGGATTCTCCAGGATCCACGGCACTTGCTGGGGCACGCACGCGCTGCACAGTTGCTTTCAGCAAAGCGTTTCCGTGGTCCACACGGGCCTGCAAGTGGGGCTCCAGGCTGGGAAGCCCCATTGGGAAGATATCTGACCGAAGTCGCCCTGCTTGGGCTATTGAGAAGGAGGTGCATGGTAAAGCTATCATGGCTCCTGCGATTTTTCCAGCTCTAACGTCGGACAGAAGCTTAACTAAGGACAGGAGGTCGAGAATGTCAAAGCCTTTCTTCAACTCCAACTCATTACAAGCAAAGCCGTTACTTCTCAGGGCGCGAGCCGCGCCTCCAGTTCCCGAGAATACATCGATGAACCACTGACCCCGACTCACGTCTAATCGCACCGCGTTACCACCCTGCCCCGCAGGATAACATCCTCGAGCTGTGATTCGCATGCCCGAAAGTGCTGCAAGAGGTTTGACGGGAACCGCAGCTCGCTGTGTCGAAGTCGGGCATGTTTTTCGTACCTCATCACGCTGCTGTCGGCTTTCCATCCTCCCCGTTGCTTTACTTCCGCAAGGCTTCTCCATCTGTTCTCTCTGTCGATCGAGGCACCTGAATGCCTGGTCTGGTACGGGGCCACCGTTGCGTTCAACGCCTTGGCACACTGATTGAACATCTTCAGTCACTCCCAGTATCCGAACCCCCAGTCCGCCTTTCGACTGGTCTGATTTGCCAAGATATGCAGGAGAGGACCAATAAATTGGAGCCACGGGCTGTCGAGCATCATCGAGTGATCGTACTCCCCGGCTTTGTCTGGCACTCCTCCCTCGGCCGGATGCACCAGCAGGCTCCAGCGTCCGTGGACGGACTTGGGCGCCAGGAAGCTCTCCGGCCCCAAGGCGAGGATGCTGCTGGGCCTCAGGTAGGTACTCACTGAGAGCAAGACAAACAACGCCATTTTTGCCTCTCCCCGCTTCATCATCTCGTTGGCCATTCCCGCCCACAGACAGAGCGGCTCCGGGCGCCTTGACCTCCCTGGCGCCAGCCGCCGCCAGCCCTTCAGCGCTCGCCAGGCCCTGGGGGTTCGACGGTCGCCCAGCCGCCCGAAACGCGGCTCCGCGTGCATCAGGGCGGCCATCAGCTTGGCCCCTCGGTGGGCCTGCTCGCCCAAGAAGAAGTCACTCTCGAACAGACGCACCAGTGACTCGTCGACCTCCTCGTCGCTGAACCTCTTCACGTCGTCGATGCGAGAGTGACTTTTCCAGCGCTCCAGCTCGGCCTGATACTGCCGTCGGGTCGGCTCCTGCACAGCTTTCTGCTCGAGCAGACTGCTGCCCGAGTTCAGCAGCTCGCAGGCCTCTGCCACGTAGTTCATCACCCGCCGCTTGCGCCGCCGACGAAGCACCCGCTCTCGCCCTGCGCCTGGCGACTCCCCGCCTTCGGACGTCGCCCCAGTGCTGCTCGAGCCACTCGGCTGAGCACCGTCCTGCCGCGACGCTGCGGCGCCTCGGGTGCCGTACGGAGCCTCCGCCTCCTGGGTTAGCCCCTCCAGGCTGGGCGGGCGCGAGGCTCGCGGAGCCTCGCAGCCTCTGGGTGGCCCCGCTGGCGGCAGCAGCCTGGCTCGTCTTGCCTGCGGCAAGGCCACGGCCTCCCGTAGGGCGCCCAGCTCCCGCTTCCGCCCGCCCGCGCTCACCGTCTTGGCGCGATCCGGGCCAGCGGGGGGCGCCAGCGACCGCCTCCTCATCTGGCTTTAGGCCAGACGGCGCGGCGCCACGACATGAGATCTCTGAACCGTTGGCAGGATTCGAAGATAGAAGACTGGCTCGGTCGAAGCCACAAGGAGCCGAGGCCCCGCTGGTTGGAGCCAAAACGGCTACGCGGCCCGATGTCGGCTGCCGACCAGGCAGCAACGAGACAGAAGCGGAATCCACAGCCTGTTCTGAGGCGGACCTCTCTCTGAGGACCCGCGCTCCATCAACCTTTAAAGCGCCCCCCCCCCCCCGTGGTTTGCAATCTACCCCCTTGGAAGGGTCATCAATTCGTGAAAGGGCCATCGGCACTGTTAAATTCCAAGGGAATCCACCGAACTACGGCACTGATGTTCTTTGCGAGGCAGTAACTACAGAAACGACGTACTTGATTCAGCAGGAGGTAGTCTCTGGCTCGACACCTATCGAACGCGAGGCACACAGACATGTTATCCACGAGCAATAACTGACGAAGATTGCGCCCGAACGTAAGGAGGGCCAATCTGCGCAGATTCATCACTAAGGCACGAGCCCCCAGGTGCACAATCCCTTGTTTCCAGCGCCAGGGACCCCACAAGGTCGGGCTCCAAAGCTCGGGCGCGAGCCCCTCCCGAGGAACCTCCAAAAACTCAGGGTCCAGGCCCCGGGCGCCGGGGGGCAGCAATACAGCGCCAGTGTGCACCACGCTGCCTGCGTGAATCACAGCGCCCGCGCACACCACAGCGCCTGCCAGGCGGGAGAAGGCGCGGGGCAGCCCAGTCTCTATCTTCTCCATGGCGCTGGGTCCACAGTCGCTACATGCAGCAAGGACAGGTGGTAACGACGCAAAGTCCTCGGGAACCGAAGTTTGGATTTGTTGGCAAAAACTGCCCAATGAAGACGGCAAAGGACAGGCCGCAGAGGCATGGACAAAGGTACCCTGGAGAAGGCGCGCGTCCATATCAGGCGCGTCGACTGCATCGCACTGCAACCGGGCACTGGCCAGAAGGCAGAGTGGTCGAACCAGCCTGCGTTGGCTGAGCCATCGATGACGGCAACGACGACGACGATGATGGTCTGGCTCTGTTTTCCTTTGTCCGTCCCTCGTCCACAACTACATATCCCACACCGGCTAACCCCGATCGATGTGTGGTCCCCCCCCAGCACGATCGTTAACGTTACCTGGGGTGGGGCGGGGTTTGGCCCGGGTAACGAGCGTTACGCCGGGCAGGAGAAAACACGCTCACTTAGAGCGCCCATGTATTGATCGATCTCCACCAAGATGACGCCAAGAGGCGCCCGGGAGGCCCCAAGAGGCGCCCAAGAGGCCTCCAAGAGGCTCCCAAGACACCGCCAAGAGGCCCAAGAGTGTCCCAAGAGCGCTCCAAGAGAGACCCGTCCTCTGTGTGCTGCCCACTTCCCTGATCGAGGCAACTCCTCGGGGCATCGTTTCTGGATGGGCTGGTGAAGTTGCGCGAAGAGTCAAATGATTCGGAACAGATGTTGGAATGTATACATGAATTGATAGTGCTGTTGGCATTTAGGTTGGTATTTAGGTTTTGTTTTTCGAAGACGCCGACGTCTCGCCGAATGGACGCTCCTAACCCAAGAAAAACATTTACCTAAGGGAGCCCATTCATCTGGGCTCGAATGGGCCCGTGAAAAACATTGTCGATACCACATTTGGGAGAGGCCCGGGTGCGATGCCTGCTAAATCGCGGTGGCCATTGGGCTCTGAAGACGAGCTCGTCTACCCCGCCAACGCGGGCACTCTACATTAGAAAGCGGTCCGACCTGGGGGCGGACGGGCCCGTGAATCTCCCGTTCTTGACTTCTCCTTGACATGCCCGAGTGCTATGCCTGTAACGTCGCGGTGAGGTGAGACGCGCGTAAGTCCGAGAAGTAGCTACCAGCGACGGGGTATGCATGAATCTGAGTGGGTTTGACTTGTGAATCTGCGTGCGAGTGAATCTGACTCTGAGTGTCGTGAACGAGTGACTCTGAGGAGCCGAATGCGTGACACTAGCAACGTGAAGCCCGTGCTCAGAATATTGGGAGAAATTGCCCAGGATCAACAAAGTGGCGTGTGGGCAGAGGGGAGGGCGAAGGGAACAGCAGAAGGGGAGGACGGGGAGAGGTGGACTCCTGGCACTGCAGCCTCATACTCGCGAAGTGGGATCCGTCCCCCAGTGCGCACGGGCCTGCACCGTGTGATAGCGGGAAGCCAAGAAAAGAGGAGGGCGATGAGGAGGCGGAGCAGCCAACAGGAAGAAGGACGGGGGGAGCGCAATTGATACCTGTCCGTGCCACCCTGTGTTCGCTCCTCAACCTGTGCATTTGATCGCTACTGTTACCTGCATTTGGTCCCCCGTCGCTCAGTCCCAAGCTTCCTGACGCACTTGGCCACGAAGGTCTGCCCCGTGTCCTCCTCGCGAACCAGCTGGACTGTGGCATAATGCCCCTGGTCGGTGGGTGACGCGCGTGCTCTGCCGGTGCTCGCTGCAGGACAGAGCACAGAAGACGAGAAGTCAGCTACCAAGCGGAGGGCATCTCTCGTCAGAGTGCTTATCCGCCACCGTGCCAGCGGCACGTTGAGGTGTGTAAGTCGCACCAGCCCTTTAAGGCGTGAGTGGTTTAGGGCGTTTCCTCTTCCCCCCCCCGTCTTTCCCTCCGGGGAAGGGCTTACCCCTGCCCCTTTCCCTCTCCCCCCAGACCTGGACGGGGCGTTTCGCGGGTAGTTGGAGCGTCCAAGACGGCCTCGGCGAGAAGGCCAATATGATGGATTTTACTCAGATGTTGGTAACATGTTGGCCTCCTGGGGGGGTGGCTAATTGAGTACGTCCCCTTCTCTGATCGAGCGCCTACAACATGGCCCCAAGATCTTCGAGGCTCCCAGGAGTGCCCCAAGAGTGTCCAAAGAGGCGCCCAGGAGGCCGCGAAAGGCCGTCGAGAGGTTCCCAAGATGCACCCAAGAGACCCCAAAGAGGCTCCAAAAGGCTTCCCCAAGGCACCCAAGACGCTCCAAAAGCGCGATCGCCAACAGGCCCACAAAACGCACCAAAAAGCCCCCCAAAAACTATCAATAGACATCGGAAGAGAAACCAGGAGGCACCCACTAGGCCTCTGGCCTTTCTGCTGCGCGTGAAACAGAATAATGGTAATGCTGATTGAAATCTGTTTACAGTGAGCGGACGAACGCTAGAGTACACATATGTGTCACACCGCCAGATGGCGGTTACAATGCTTGAGCCAAGCGCCAGTAGCAGCACAGCATCCCTGTATTACACCGCATGCTCCTCCGCATCCCTGATCAAGGTAACTCGCCTGGGCATCGCTTCTGGATGGGCTAGTCGGGTTACGCGACGTGTTTAGAATATGTCTGTTGTCTCGTAAGATGTCTGAACTGTTTCTACGTGTAGCAGACCTCGCTTTCGTCGCGCCCATCTTCAGAAAATCGTCGCGTCTATCTTGTCCATGCGCGCCTCACACTTATCGCGAGAGAACTTCTCCCCCCGCGCAGCTTGTCTGCGCTCGCAGGGCATTTCTCTGAAGACAAGGGGCGGGCTCCACGGCCAAATACATGGCATGGGCCATTCTTCTTGGAGTTAACGCTCAAGGCGCGGCTCTGGGAGCGATCGCCGCCCTTGCCGCCGCCTATGGACCGATCGGAGGGGCGCTCCTGGCTCCTGCCGCGATCGCCGCCCTTGCCCTTTCCACCGCCTTTCTCTTTATATTTGTTCTTCTTTCCACCGCCCTTGCCGCCGTCCTTGCCCGATTGGGCAGGCGCGGCCTGTGCTGGAGTGGCGGGGCCCCCGGTTCCCTTCGGGCGCCGGCGCTGGCGCTGTGCCCGAGTGCGTGGGCATTTGCCTTGAAGGAACTTGTTGCGTGGTACCGACTGCTTAAGGCGACCGTCTTTCATGCGCAGATTCTGCCCGCCCTTGCCGGCGCCCCTCCCATCCTTCCTCCTTCTCGCCTCCCGCGGGAAAACCGCATGAATCAGCGTTCTCCACTGCTTTTCGCGATTGATCCGTCCTTTTTCTCTGCGCGCGAAGTCGCTGGCCCTCGATGGCGACCGCCCGCAGGTCTTGCTGCCAGTGCCGCGCTCACCCTTGTAATGGTCATAAAGTATAAGAGGGAAGTTTAGGTGGACATGCCCCTGCATCGCGGTGCGGAAGGAGTCATTCAATCCCACCATCTCGTTGAGCGTTCTCGCCCGCTCAGCATGGAAATGGAGCGAGTCGGCATCCGCCTCCGTGCCCGCGCCACGGATCTTCATCTCCATGAGATCCGCGCACGCACACACCTGGCCATGATCTTTGCGGGTGGTCGCACGCACGGCAATGATGCGCAACATTTCATGACCTATCATCATGCTTCTGGCGGTTTGCGAGGAGATGTCCAATCTTTCGGTCTCACTCGCAATTTGGCGCATCTGTGATGGCGACTGCCAGCCTTCATCTATCTTGTTGACCTTTCCTCTGCGATCAGCAGGTCGAGCTGGACGAAATGGCCGGGATCCCTCTACTCCTTCGCATCTACACATCTACGATCAAAAATAAGGGGCCGCGCGCGAACCCTACCCCTTACCCCCCCCCCCCCCCCCGCACACACACACACGCACACACACACGCACACGCACACACACACACACACACACACACACACGCACGATTTCTGAAGGGGAGGGCGGGGTTCGCTTCGCTCGGGAGCTCCCGAGCGAAGTGAAACCCCACCCTCCTTGCAGACATCTTGGGGGCAGGGGTAGGGTTCGCGCGTGGCCCCCTAAACAACGCCCGCGACCCCCATGGCAGCACCCCAGAACTCGGCGAAGCCGACGCCGCCGTCCTGACAACATTGCGACGCCACCGCTGGTAGTTGGCAGCATCGGGGATCGCTTCCAAGACTATCTTCTCCGTCTTGCCTGCGTCGCTCCAATATGGCGCAGTGGCTGGGCAAGATCCAACAACGGGAATGGGGGGCCATCGCCGCCGCCGCCTCCCGGCGGATCGCCTCCAGGCGGCCCTCCGCCACGCTGGCGCCGGCGATCTGGACCCCCATCTTCTTCTCCGTCGGACGTTGGGTGCCCATCGTCTGCAAGGCATCAGTCGCCATCGCTTTCGCCATCGCCATCTTCCCCATCATCTCCGCCGTCATCACCAGGAGGACCTGGGCCTGGATGTCTCGGAACTGGCGCCTTCCTTGGGGGGGTGGCCCCATTCTCCTGATCTTTCTGTTTGATGATGCTCGGCGAGCTCCCCGGCGCTGGAGGCGCGCGCCCTGGGAAAGAGGTCGCGACGCTGGCGCGAGCTGCCCTCGAGTTGGCGTGCTGGGGCCGGGGCCCCGTGCTCGACCCCATGCCCCCTGCCCTGGGCCTGCTGCGCCGGGGCGGCAGCCGCTTCGGTCCTTTTCTCGCGCGCCTCTTGGACATCCACCCTGCGCTCGGCGCGCATCCTGGCGTTTTCCTCCTCCCGCGGCATAGCCTGCCCGAGCTTTTCCTTGTGTTTCTCATCTTCGGCCCTCGCAGCTTCTTCGAACTCAAGCGGCCTCTCCGATCCAGCGCTCTCGGCCGGGGGATCGCCGCCGCCCGATGCATGGCCCTGGGCGCGCGCTGGCCGAAGCAATCGATCGACCGCCCTCGGCATAGACGCAGCGGCGCTCTGTTCCTGAAGTTTATTCTTGCCTGGCGTTTCTCACTTTCTTCCCCCTGAAATATTTCCTCAGCTTCGCTCTTTTCAACTGCTGAATCCTTCCCGTAGCAGCGTGCGCGCGTCTGGCCAACCAGCGCAAAGCGCCCGTCGCAAACGCCTCTGTTGCACGAGAGGCAGTCGCGAGTAGCCACTTTGGAACGCAGATAACGCCACATACCTCCCGCGCGGGGAGCCCGCCCGAGATCCCGCGCGCGGCCGGGCGCCTAGCCGCAGTCGTTGCCAGCGACGGCGCGGCGAGCGCCGCCGAAGGACTCGCTTGGGCCACCGACCTGGTGCATGAAGACGTTGCCGAAGATGCCCCGATCGGGTTCCAGTGTATCTGGTGCTGATCAAGCTTGCGATGCGAACTGCCCCGCTCGGCTTCCCGATGCTTTGCCATTCGGGCGACCTCCAGTTCTGCTGCGAGAGTACTCGCTGCGACCTTCTCCCCGGCGGCCACCTCGACTCGTCGCATCTCCTCGCGGGCGCGCAACGTCTCGGTCTCGGAACGAGCGTAGCCCTCATCCGCGGCGATTCGGTTCGTCTCGGCCTGCATAAACAGCGGCAGCCTCCGCGGCTAAACGCGCGATCCGATTCCCTGCTGATGGCAAATCCTTGGCAGCCTGCAACATAGTCGTTCGCTGAGCCTCGCCGGCCCCCTGGACAGCGCACTTCGCCTCCTCTGCGAGGTGCTTCTCCTGGAGATGTGCTTGGCGCCCGGAGGCAGCGGAAATCTCCGACCTGTTGACGACCTCTCTCATTTCCTCTGTCGCCGCGGAGGCCCGTTGAACCGCCGCCGCCGCCTGTTGGCGCTCCTCCTGGCAGCGCGCGGCGTTCACCGTGGCCCCCCGGTCTCGCTCCAACTGAAGGGCGGCGGTCGCTTGCTGCTGCAACTCCGACTGCCTAGCTGCTCGCGCATCTCCGCCAGGTCTCGTTCCCATATCTCCATAATCTCCCACTTTTTTTCGGGCCAGCATCGCGCCGCCCGCTCGCGCGCAACCCAGAGCAATTATGCGAGCCAGGCGCAGTGCACGCCGAGCATAGGAAGTTTAGGTTACAGAGGCCGCGCATGTCGGAACACCCGACACAGACAGGCTTCTTGCACTGGCCCGATAAGCCGGGGCACCGCGATTCTGGCACAGCAGCGCACGTCGGCCCTCAGTCGGCACCCTCGGCGTTGATGCGCGCGCTGAAGGCGCTCGACCTGCCCGACAAGTTGGGCCGATCAGATACCTCAGATCGCGGTTTTGGGGCCCTGGGTCCGCTCCTCTCGGTGATCCTGTCGCGGAGAGAGCGGGTCCGTGAGTCAGGCGTCCCAGACGTTGAAGTCGGCGCCCTCTGACTCGTCCGAAGAAGGCGCGGCGGGGGCCTGGGAGCGCAGCTCCTGGGCGCTCCCCCAGAGCGAACTCAGGGTTGTACTCCGGGATGCCGCCAGATCTTCTTCGCTTCCCGAGTGGCGAGGTCGCTGAACGACTAACAGGCTCACGTTTCTGCTTGCTCGTCGTCCTCATGGGACCGCCCACAGACCCTTCACTGATGATATCCTCTTTATTCTGTCCCAACGAATCAATCATTCGACGAAATCACGGCATCCTCGCCAGATGTGAGCGGCACCTGCGCAAGGGGCTAAAAATCGCCACATGGAACAAGAGACGCACGGTCATGGACATCACCTTCTCCGTCACGTGGCCAACGATCACCGTGCAAGCCGATGGGCTTGGGCGTTGGCATGCGAAACAACAGAATTCCTCCGACGAGACCGACTCCCCGTGGTGGTCGCCGCCCGAGAGGTGAATGGGGACATCGGGTTGGTCATCAAGTGGCATGGGGCCCTCTTCATATTATCCGTCTCGGTCGGGTCGCGTGGTGCCCTTGATATTCGAAATACCAGGACGAGGCTCGCCATCGAATGAGAGGTTCCAACAGATCTTGGAGGGATTCCGTCGGCTCGATTCCTGGACATGCTCGGCAAGATTTGTTTCAGGAACATCCACACTCATGCCGTGGCGTGGTTCCTCCTTAGGTTGTACATGAATTTGGATAGTTGAAACATAATTCCCTCATCGGGCAAAACCATTTTTATTGAAGGCAGAACTTTCGGCTGATAACCAGCATGTTGCCAGCTCATTGATGATGCGGGCTCTTTCTTGGCAGTGCTGGTCTGCAAAATGTGATCATGATCGCTTCGTAATTGTTCACCTTCATCACTTTCCTGTAGTAGTATCTTGATCATATTTGTCTTCGATGTAGGTGATGTGTATCTACATGGTTACATGGATGTGGCCATGGCTCAATTAAAATGATGGTGTCTGTTAAGCTGGGCTAACAACGGATATGAAAGGGGGCCGGCCGGCCAGGAGAAGGCGCCCGGGAGGGAGCGCGCGCTGGACGGGCGGGCCGCACTCATTTTCTTGAGCCGACCCACAACAAATGCGACGAAACTGTGGGTCAGAAGTGGGCACGGGGGGATGACTAAATCAACTTGAGTTGGCAATCGCAAAATGCGCTCAATCATATTGAGCAGAAAGGCGAGGTGAACAAACGCACCTCCTGGGAGCTGCAGCCACCATCGAAGGTTGGCCTTGTCCACGCCTTTGCCTACCATTGGCATGATAGATTAAACCGACACTGCGGTCTCCCGCAATTGCGGGACAGGCAAAAGCAGGGGGGCGAAGGTGCGACGGGCGTGGGTCGCGGCGGTCGCGGCGGGCGCGGCCCGCTGGCGGGCGGGTCGCGGCCGGGTCGTCGGCGGGTCGTGGGGCGAGGCGCAGCGCGGGTCGCAGGCGGGTCTCGGGCGGGTTGCGCGGGCGCGGGTCGTCAAATGGTCGGGTCGTGGCGGGCGCGGACCGCGGGCGGGTCGTCAGCTGGTCGCGGACGGGTCGTCAGTGGGATTCGAGGCGGCGACGACAAGAAAGAGGGAATAACAAGAATCCGCACCACAGGACCTACTTCAGCCACACACCCAAGGACAATGTGCGACCTCTGGGCCTCCTCACTCTGATGAGCAAGAATGCCGGAAAGGTCCAAGGTCCGATATCCTCTTGATCCCCTCCATTCACCATCGTCCTCCTTACCCTTCCGCCCCTTACCTTTCCCTCCTCCCCGTCTCCTCTCCCATCTTCCTCCTGCATCCTCTCTCCTTCCTCCTTCCCGCTGCCTGCTCGACACGCCTTCTGCTTCGACACCGCTTCACTCTGCTTCCGACGACTCAGGCTGGAGGCTCAGCTTTTTTTCGGGAAAGAATATTGCACATATGGCATGTTTGTCCTCCTTCGTTAACCCGCTCGTCGCAGAGAAATGGTGGACGCCACGTCAACAAAAATCCAAATTAGCCCTGTTGCCTGCTTACCGACGTTCAACATCCGCCACTTTCGGCAGATCTGCCCATTGATTCTGCCTGTGTTCGGGTGCCCATCCCCGCTTCTGGATGGAGGGTCGCAATTTCAACGGCCGAGCATGCCTCTTCAAGCAACGTCGCTATCAAGCAACTGCAAGACGCAGAAAGGCGATCGTTCACGAATCGCCAGCGAAGACACATGAGAGGACAAGTAGTAAAGTTCTCGTGTTCAGACATACCGGAGGCAATGAAACAAATCCGGATGGGCCTTGCCGATGTAAGACACCCACTCCAGTCCGAAACCGGAGAGGTCAAGAGCTGCGGGCAGTGCGCGAAGCATGGAGCAAATTGAGGCCTCCTTTCCTCTAACCCAAGTGTCGCGCGCGAAAACCTCCAGTGACCGCAGACGTCATTGTCCAAGGACCACTATGTACATGCGTCACTCTCTCTCTCTCTCTCTCCCTCTCTCGCTGGCGTTGCCTTCCTTCGCTCCCTTACTCACTCTCTCCCTGTCTGGTTGCGTAGATGCTCTGGATACTTCGCTTCACGTTTCTCGCGTCTTTGACGTCTCCAAAGGTCAACCTGCTCTGTCTGCATAATTGCGCGCACTCACCAAGAAGGTGAAGCCGTTTGGCTGTCAACGCGGCAAGGAAACACATTCCGTTCCTCACTCAACTTCCGTGGCTATTTCGATCTAGCGCATCAATCTAGGCGCCCCAGGCCATGAAATGGCAACAATGTGTCCTCAACATGAGCAAGCAACAATGAATGGAGCACGCGCGCCCGCAACATTTGACACACCAACAGAGGGCAGCACACGACACTCATGTGGAATGCTACTTGCGCTCTACTTGGGTAATTCGTCAATGCCCCTAGCTCCAGCATGGCGACACCAATTATGCGCAACAACGCGCGCTCCACGCTACGGTCAAGTCAAGTGTTGGGGCGTGCGTATCGACGCGGGCTCCGATGCCATGCGGTCGGGAGCGTTGGAATGCGCGGGCCCTGTCGTCGCCAAGCACAACGAAAATGAGATCTTGAGTCGTGGTCTCCTGCCTCCTCCCTCAAGCTGAACGCGCGGACTGAGCCACCGACGAGAACGTCCACCCATCCACGGGATAGCGAATCATCCGCACATCCCGTCCACCCAACCTCCTGCCCCCCTCCTCCCTCCTCCCTCCCTTTCCCTCCTCCCTGCTACCTCCCATTCCTTCTTCCCTCCTCCCTTCGCCCTCCTCCCTCCCCTCTCCCTTCCCTCCCCCATCCCTTCCTCCTCCCTCCCGCCTTCGTTCCTGCTACCTCCCGCCTCCCCCTCTGGCAGCAGCGCGATCCTGCAGGTTGTGCTTGAGCGACGCGGCCCCCAGGTCGTAGCAGAGAGGCGCGCGCCGACGCTGTGGCCAGGCTAGATGGCGCACCCAGGGACTTTCGGCTGTCCTGGGAGCCTTTTGTTTACCAACCGACGGCAATGTTGGTGGCAAAGACGCCGGCTACGGCAGGTTCACGTCGCGATGACGTCGAATCGTTCAAGCGGGGAACGTTCCTCGGCTGCCCGATAGCGCAAATCGTTGGAGACCAGTCGATTCAAAAGCAACTGGCAGCGTTGCACATTGAATGCCCGCGCTGGGGTCGCCGCCGCGTAAGCGCGGCGCGAAGCTGCCGCACTTTCAAGGCACAGCTGCCTGCTGATTTCAGGACGTTCGCTCAGGGAGCGAAGCGTATTTGTCCTGGGTCCTTTCGAGGCTCCTGCCCAAGGAAAAGCATGAGGATCACCTGGGTCTCCAAACTTTGCTCTTCGCGCCCAGGGCGCACGGGGGACGAGCTCCAAAGAGGCTCACAGTCTACATACACCACTCATCCTCTCCTCCCCCTCCTCCTCCTCCTCCTCCTCCTCCTCCTCCGCCTGCTCCTCCTGATCCTCACCTTCTTACCCCGTCCCGCCCATCCCTCCTCTCCCAAAACTGACGGTGAGGATATGGCTGATCAGTGCGAAGATCGGCGGCGGAGTAAGGACACCGGGTGTCCTGGTACATCGCGCATGACGCGGCATGACGCGGGGCGCGCGGCAAACACAGCTTGCAAGAGCCGACGGGAATTAAGATAAGGACGGGGGCCAAGAGAACACCAGGTACAGCAAGGGCTAGATACGTGCGGCACGCATGGAATTGGCTGAAGTGCCAGGTCGCGACCAACAATCATCCTAAATTTTCTTCTGACCCTTTTCTACAACTGTTCCAGCAGAATGGTCTTACGTTGTGCCACGCAACTCCACCGCATTATCACGTTACTCATCACTCTAAACATCACAACCGCTATAGAGCGCGGCGTCAACCGTGTGACTACAGTTCCAGTGCTGTAACAGAGAAGCGTCCATCTGGGCTTCGACACTGAAACCAATTGGATGAAACCGCACATGAAACACGAGTTGGAGAATGAGGTAAGTTGAGGGCATGACAAAGGAGACATGCGTAGGGCAGGGAAGAGGGGATGGAGAGAGAGAGAGAGAGATGGAATGAGGGGGGATTGATCAAAACGCGGGCAACGATCAACATGCGGGCAACATGTTTACCGGGGCGCTGAGGCCATCACCAGCAACACCGCGAGCCCCAAGAGGCTCGCAAGGAACTCTCCAGCAGGGCCATGGAAGACCAAGAACATTGAACAGCCTCGAGGTCTGAAACATTTTGTGCCTTGTTAAACTGTTCGGTCCAGGATGAGTTCAGGAAACCTTCAGAAGGCTCAGGCACAACCCAAAAGGGCTCCAAAAAAAACATCCAGAATAGAACCACGAGCGCGCATCGTGCTCGCTTAGGGTCTAGCCAGGCAGCTCATCTGGATACGCTAACTCTTGAAAACATCGTCGTTGGGCGATCTCGGAAATTTCTTGAGCCGTCTTGGGCCGTCTTTGGGCGGAGAAAGTTGACAATGCATACTTGCGGAGCTTATTGAGAGTCTTAAGAGCCTCTCGAGGTGTCTCGGAGAGCTCAAGTCTGCAGGCTATCTTGACTCCTCCTGAACCGCTTGAGGGCCGTCGGAAGGCTTTCCGAACCCATGTTGGAGCGTGCTTGATCCTTGCGGGGCCGCTTGAAGGCCTCTTGGAAGCTACTGGGGGCCTTTGCCCGCTGTTGGAGCGCGTAAAGTTCGTCTCGGGCGGCCCAGCCTCACAACCAAACAGACCCCCGTCGGACGGCCCCAATGCGCCCCCAATAGTCTCCGTCAGCGCGCTCGTGACCCCAGAGCGCCGAAAACGCCCCCTCAACACTGCCCAAAGCTGCCCAAGAGGCCCCACGAGAGTCTCAAGACAGCCCTAGAATCCGGGCGACGGACGACAGACGACGGTTTACGGACGCCCGACGACGGACGAGGATGACGACAACGACGACGACGACGACGACAACAACGACAACGACAACGACGACGACGACGGCCCACGACGAAGGAAGTACGCCGACGCGCCCACGCGCGCGCGCCCGCGAGCGCGCCCGTGCGCGACGCACGCGCCTGCACTTGTTCGTCGTCCGCGAACCGTCGGCTGGCGTCAGTCGTCCGTCACCCGCACTCCAGGGCCGTCTTGCGACCCTTTGGAGGCCACGTGAGCAACGTTGGGGACATTTGTGGAGGCGTTTTCGGACCTCCTGGGGCTCGTTTCCGGAACTCCCGGGGGGCCTTGATTGTGAGGCCTCCTGGGGGCTTCTCGGGGATACCTTTTCGGTGTTTGTTGTGAGTATATGTGGCCTCTTTGGCCACCCCTTCGGAGGCGAAAAGGCGAGAGGGCAAAAACTATCGAATTCCATTGTGGTTTTGAAACTTCCTGGCTTCTCGGAAGCATCTGGGAGAATTTCCTGGAGCTCTCTGGGGATGTCGTGAGCGTCTCAGGAAGCGTCCTGAAGCTCGGTGGCACCGTCAGGAACCCCTGGAGGCCGTCTTGGGGGTGGCTGGGGTCTGTCACAAGTCGCCCAGACTGCTGTGTGCCCGCGCCATTTCAGGCGGCCCGAAGGCGCGCCTGGGCCCCGGGACACACATTTGGGGTCGGGGGCGCGGCCCCTGGGCCCCTGGGCCCGCTCATTGGGGGTTGTTGGGAGCCTATTGGGAGTTTGTCGGGTGCGTTTTGGGGCCTCCTGTGGGCCTCGTGGGGGCGATGGGCAGCCCCTCGGAGACCAGAAGGCCAGAAGGTGAGCATTATCTATTTCCACAAGGATTTTGAACGTTTTGGCCTCCTCGGAGGCACCCTGCAGAATCAACTGGAACTGTCCCGGGCTGCAAAGAGCAGCGTCGCAGGAAGCGGCCTGAAGCTCGGTGGCACCGTCAGAACTCCCTGGAGGCCTTCTTGGGGGTGGCTCGGGTCTGCCTGGCGCGCCTGTATAAGGTGTGTATGTATGTATATGTATATGTATATGTATATGTATATGTATATGTATGTATATATATATATATATATATATATATGTGTATATATATGTGTGTGTATTGAAACAGTAGCGAGCCAGATCCCCGAGAACGACCCAAGGCCACCTCCAAACGGCTCCAACAGGCCCGAAGACCCATCCACACGTCACCATAATGGTTCAACCCAGCAGGACCCCAGAAGAAGTCTAGAAGCTACTGCGCGAAATAATGTTTTACCAATTATCCGTCAGGAGGGGAGCTTCCGCAGCCCAATTGAACGGCAAAGCGTGTAGTTATTCTTCATGGTGATCCTTTCCTTGTAACAGTTTCATGTTCAGGTCCAAGCGATATATGGGAGAGGTTATTCGCGTGGCCATGGTTTAGTAAGCTATGGTTAAGAACGCGCTGCTAGGGGAAGGGAGGGCCGGCCGGCAGGCGGGCTCGCGCGGCGGGCAGGCCGGACCACTTGTCAGCGATCGAAGTCAACGCAGCTTCGGTAACTGGCAGTAAATGATGCTGAGGCAAGGCAGGGGTGTGACTAAATCAACTCCCCCCGCGGCCTCCCTGGCGAGCTCCACTCGCACGGGTGGAAGTCGACGATTTGTCAACGCCCCAAATTTGCTCATAAAGCGGCCCGTCGCGCCGCGCCCGGCAGGCAGCTCGCCCGCCGCCTGGCTCGCAGCGCTCTGAGACGCCCAGTGCATAGCGCGGTTGCGTCGAGGGGACACCCGCAGCATAGCTGCGAGTGCCCCTTGTTCTCTCCCCCTTGATCCCAACTGTGATTGTCGCGGCTCCAGCTGCTGCAGCCCTGCCAGTCGCCTGAGCTCCAGCTCCAAGACGACCACCAATTGTCGGCGCTCTCTCGCCACGGGGGAATGGAATCCGTGTCCTCGCGCCGCGGCGGGGCAAGGTCCACGCGCCGCTGCGACGCGTCGGCCGGCGCGCGCCATGGCGGGGCGACGCCCGCGCGCAGCCGGGAATCTCTCGCGGCCGGCGGCCCCGGTGCCTTGGCGGAGCTCGAAGAGGCGTCTCCCGAGCGTGAGTGCGAGCCCCGCTGGGTCGGGCTGTCAGCTCGGCGACGTCTTGACTGCTGTGGATTATCTGGCGCGCGACTGCTTCGCCTCCTAGCTCCCTGGCCGTCGCTCTCGGCCTCCACCTCCTTGCCCCGGCCCTGGGCGCCGCCCGATGTTCTTGCTGCCGCAGGACGGCCCTCGGGTCTCACAGAGCCAGGCCTCGTTTCTCCTTTGGCAGACTGCGCTCTAGGGGAGGCGCCCACCCTGGCATAGTCAGGCGGTGCCGGAGCCCTTGTTTCCCGCGCTGCCGGCCGCAGAGGAGCTCCCAGAAATTCAATGGGCGGCAAGTAATCCTCTATTTCCCGCCCCAAAGCAGCTTTCAATTGACTGAGCGGCTGGGCTTCAGCGCTCCGCGGGGACTCTCGGCACCACGCGGGCCAACCCATGCTGGGTTCTTCGCGATGGCGGCCCCCCAGGGAATCGCATTCCCAATCGAACGCTTCAATAATGGCATAGCCGCCCCCTTCCAGAATCCCCCTGCTGATGCGCGGCCACCGCGTCCACGGAGGAACAACAGCGTTACTGCCAGTAGCGGGCGTCTTGAGATTTGCGTTCTGAGACTTGATGCACCTGCGACTCAGCTTCTTGGACTTCTCCTGCATGCAGGTTCTGTTGCTCCGGCAGCTCGTCATCTCGGAACATTGGTTGCCGGGCAAGGAGAGTCTTGACCGATGCCATCTTCGCTGGCGTCTTTCCCTCTGTTAAGTTATGTGCGCGTGCCTGCGCCCGGTCTGTGTCCTAGCCCTTCCATTTCCTCCCTGCACTTTGCGCCGCAGGGCTGGGGGCGTAGCCCCCGTGGCCCTCGCGCATGGCCACGCCCATAACTCGAGGGCGATCTTAGGGCAAATCATGTCATGGTCAGCGACAAAGGCGCAGTAATGGACAGGCGCCCGGCATGCGAGGCAGCTGAACATACCCAACCGATTGCGGCAATCGTTGCTGCGCAGGAAGTAGCCATTATCCAAATACTTCTGCGCGCAGAGTGCGTTCTTCTTCGCAATAGAAGCGAGCGCATCATCATCGTCATCATCATCACCAACGCCAGGTACCCCAAAGATGACCTGATTCTGCTTGATCCAATCTGTACATGCCGCGTCGAAATCAAGGAAGACTCTGAGCGCTGCGCACCATCAGTCATATACCAAAGTTCACGACATCTGGATCCGCTTCGTCCCAAATACGGTAAGACGCAGGATCTGATGAAAGTCGCTCCACTGAGGCCGGAACTTGTTGCCGAAGATCCGTCGCGATGAATCCAGGCGTCCTGATTCTCGAAGATGCGGGGCTCGAAGGTGAGCGCGAGGGACTGCGAGAGAGGGCATGGATCTTCCAGATTGAAAACACTTGCGTCCCATGCTTGGCTGGCCACTGCGCGCGCCCAACCTCCAGTTCTCAGCCACGTAAGCAAGCGTCCGTGCATTTCACCGCATTGACCATCCAGCGCTCTCTGTGCCAGCTGGACTGCACCGCCCGAACCTGGCTCTTGTTCTCTGATAATTACACCTTCAGGGGTAGGGTACGGACCAAGCTTAGTCGGCAGGCAGGTCAGGAAAAGGTACTGGCGCACGCCCTGGAGGCCCCTTTTGCGGTGCCACAACGCTCCCGGTCGTAGACCTTCGCGCCGAGACATCGTCCACTGGAGTGACGACTGCCTGGTGGGAGTGCCTCGCTGCCGCGCCGCACTTGATGTACCTGCGTTCGGGGTCCACAACCCGGACAGGGTGACCCTTGCAAGCGCGGAACAGCAGGGGCGCTCTCGCCATGGGCTTCACCATGGACGCGCCCCCGACGACATAGTCGTCATTCGGTGGTTTTCGCCCGACGCTTTTGTCCCAATATTCTGGCTCAGCCGTGGGTCAATCTTCGGCGTTCGTTATGTTCGCACTAGGTAGTACCTGAACAGTATGGCGTGGTAGTTGAGCAAGGGCATGCGTTAGGCGTGCCCGCGCCGTGTCG